TGAAATTTCCCCTCCTTAATTATTATGTTCCCCCCTCCCTATTCTCCAACATATTGGAAGGTATAACTGACTAATATAATGTTTCTTTTTTTTGGTTGATTTTCTCGAACAATTTTAGTCAATATGACGAGCTTGGTTTTCAACACAATTTAAGAGCTTCAAGTGTCAATAAGATAACTGTAAAAAAAAGTGTCAAAAAAGATTTTTGGTTTGAATCCACATATCCTCTTGTATGAACCGTCATGATGAATTAACTTTCAACTGAAGGACTATATAAGAAAATAACACAAGATCATTTCTTTCACATATTTCTATTAAGCTGTTAGACGAGCTGCTAATGTATGAAAATAAAATAATTTTTTTTAAATCAAATTATTTAGATATGTCGATTCATGATTTGAAAGAACATACATCAAAATGATGTGAAATAACATTAAAAATTGATTTCGAAATCAAACGATTAAATTTCCATGATTTAGTTATCTAAACAATAAGAGGAAGCTAACTAATATGTTGCTCATAAAAACTAATGAATTTTATAAATGTTATCCAAATTTAACAAACACGTCGCTTATAAAAAAACAGATTCATCCAAGAATATAGTATGAAGAATTGAAGATTACCCATTCAACTAAATGAAGACATGAAATTTATCACGAAAAATGGGGGAGGAATTATGAACAATTGAACATGGAAAACCGTTTTTCAAAGCAAGGATTACTTTTCAGTTTTATTTTCTTTTCTCTTTTTGAATTTGTACTTGATAAAAGTTGTTACAAGTTAGACATCCAGTAACCGATACTTCCGCGACTTTTACATATATTTACAAAAAAAAATTTAATGTTTTCCGGCGAGGAAAAACTTGTGTTTGAACTCAATTAATGCACCTTTGACTTCTTGGACAACGATAATTACACGGTCCACTCCTCTCCGAACAATGTTCGAACGAGGGTGTTTGATGTTTTGATGGTTTTTTGGGAACAAACTACGTTACTCTACTCCTATGGAGGTTCAGTGAGAGCTCCGAAAACTAAAAGCTGATTTGCAGGGAAAAGATAAATTTTGACATAGTGTGTCAAATGATTGGTTGTGGAACCCTTTTCCCGTCTTCGTTTCTCCTATTTATAGCCAATAGGAGTAACTGCCTTGGTAACCGTCTTGGTAACTGCTGGCCGGCTTGTTGCTCCAACCGCCTTAGGGACCCCTTTTCGTTGCCTTGGTTGCCAATTGGTAACCGTTGTCTTGGTCTTCACCTCCATTGCCTTGGATCTCCTTGACCCGTCTTGTTGACTAGTTGGTATCCATCGCCTTGGAGGCCCTTGTCCCGTCTTGGGGTTGGTGGGTACTTGATGGCCTCGATGCCGGGTCGGGTTGGTGTTGAGCCTTGTCGCCCTGTCATGACTGGATGGGGTTGAGGTTATTTGCCTTAGCCTCCATGATGAAGTCTTGATCGCACCCTCGGCTGCTTGATGACTCCCCACTCTTGTGGTCTTGAGACCGCTACCATCTCATGACACCAAGTCCTCCTCATTAACTTGTTGGTTGTTACCAAGCCGTCTCATCGGCTTGATACCTTCCGGCATGCCACCAACCAAGCCCATGTAATCAACTTGACACCCCTTGCTACCAAGCTAGTCCTGGTGGCTTGATCTCCATACTTAGTTTTTGTAGCCTCATCAAGTGGTAAGTTGCACCCTGCCGGTTTGCTACACCGTGAAGGTGCTACCAAGCCCGTCTTTGGACTTTGTCTCCATATGACCTCATAAGGGCTGAGCTCGGCATCCTGGTCGATCCATCCATAGTTGGGTGGCCACCTTAGCTAGTCACCATGCCTTAGTCGAATTTCTTGTCTTGTTGGCTTGATACCCTGATGTCTGGCTATCAAGTCCGTCTTGTTGGCTTGATATCCAGACTTAGTTTCTGTATGACTCTCTTAGTTGGTACCTGGCTTGGCCCCCTGTTGCCTGGCCACCAAGTCAGTCTTGCCGGCTTGATACCCCCTTGGGGTCATGGTACCCTGTCGCCTTGCTTGGCTGCCAAGCCTGTCATGCCAGCTTGGTACCTTGTAGGGGTCTTGGTACTGAGGTCGCCTTGCCCGCCTGGTACCCCCTTAGCTCCATACTTAGCCAATTTTTATATCTTTTGGTATCAAGCCTAACTTGTCGGCTTGATACCCCCTTGGGGTCATGGTACCCTGTCGCCTTGCTTGGCTGCCAAGCCTGTCATGCCAGCTTGGTACCTTGTAGGGGTCTTGGTACTGAGGTCGCCTTGCCCGCCTGGTACCCCCTTAGCTCCATACTTAGCCAATTTTTATATCTTTTGGTATCAAGCCTAACTTGTCGGCTTGATACCCTCTTGTTTGGCCCCCTTATTTGGTATCAGGCTCGGTACCCGGTCGTTTGGCACCCCATTGTGTCGCCTTGTTTCCAAGACTTAGTTTTTGTAGGTCAAATTTCATACTAAGGGGTGGAGGCATCGTTCGGCAATGGGGGCCTCGGAGACGGGTCGACCATCGTATAGAGGAGAAGGGGGTGGGCCACTTAGGCCCAAAAATCTAACCCAACTAGGCCCAGCTGGCTCTTTTAATCATTAATGTTGAGCTGGCCTTATAAATTCATTAATCTCTTGTAATTAATCGATGTGGTACAAGCTGATTTTTTATGGGTAAACAGTTAAAATGTAGGATTTTGATTAATATCCTATTAAATATAACAAGTACAATATACCATTTTTTATTTTAAAAATTACTAACTACGAATTTGTAAATCCTAATAGATATTTACTTACTTTACAAATGAATCTTCTTTTTTTTATCGAAACCTGTGGTTTACAAATGAATCTTTGCAAAAGGAAAAAAAACACTTTACAAATGAATATATCTACAAATTTTAGATATAAAGCTCACAACCAAAAATAATATATTGATACGAATGACAAACCCCACCTTTCTTTGGTCTCAAATTATTCAACCAACATGATAATAATGCTAATATTAGCTCTTGCAAAACTATAAATTGTTTGGATGGATGAATTAGAAAATAATAAAATTTTGGTCAATTGTTTCATTTTATAAAATAAATAATTTAAAATGAGCCAATTTGAATTACTGATTTGTTACTTCTTTCCAAGACAATTATTTTTTTTAAACGAGTCAATTTGAAATATGCCAAACCAAATTGTTCCATCCAAATTTTATGTTATATTACAAGAAAAATTTATCAAATTATCTCAAAATTAAAAAATTATATCAAATTAATCAGTTAAAATTTTCAACCCAATTTTCAACAAGAAAAATTCATGAAGAATTCGAGCCAAACGCAGAAAGAAGGAAAAGAAATAAAAGAAAAGAAAAGGGGAGGGAGAGAGTATATAAGGCAAGTAAACAGTAAATCCGGAAAGTAAAAAAGAAAAGGTTAGAATAAATAGATTGTGAGATGTGAGGGTTGTAGTTAGTTAACTCTCCATATGAGCTGGATCCACTCTTTCAGGAGTGTCCCACCTCACTTTCTCAAATAAAAATATCTCACTATTATTCTCTAAAATTTCTTATAAAATAGGGCATTGTTAGGGCGATAAAATTTGAATTTTAGGGCGACGAATAAAAAACTAACCCTAAAACCTTCTTCCTCATTCGTCTCCTTCCTTTTGTTCGGAACAGAAGAATCCGGCAGCAGCAATAGGGAAGCGGCGGTGGGCAGGTTGAAGTGGCCAGTGGGCCGTTGAAAAGATTTCCCAACAGTTCTTAATTACTTTTGACCCATAATTATTCCAACAGTTGCCGGAGTTCAGTTTCCATGACAACTGCACCAAGCAAAAAAAAAAAAAAAACTAAACTAGAGAAGAAGAATCATCACCAATTCACCATCAAAGCTCGTGCAAGGGAACTGCACCAAAAGTGTCATGTTTACTTTTATTTTTTTCATTTGTGAAAAAATTGACAGTGACAGCAGCGGCCACAGACAGGATTAGCAGGGATCGGAGGGTAAGAGTGTCAATTTGGTACATTTTAGGGCGATAAAATTTGAATTTTAGGGCGACGAATAGCAATTCAGATAGAATATAGGTCAATTACACAAATGAGCACTCAACTTGGGACTACTCCAAATAAGTCCATCAATGTTGACTTCTAATTATTTGGACCAACTAACATTAATAGTCGCGTACTCTGTTCATTCTCTGTTAGCCAATTCCACCACGGGAATGATAAAACGTTGGAATAAACTTAATCAATCGAGCAACAGATCCTAATGTGTACTTGATTTGATCTAGCCCAACAATAAAAAAAAGTCATCAACAATTATGGATAATAATTGTATTAAATAAGCATTAGCATTACCATTTACAATCAAGTTGGAGTTTGGATATTACAAAATTTAAGGTCTATCAATTCATATCTCGTGTTCGGTAATTTGTTAAAGCTATCAAGTGAGTCGTTTCATCTCGCGTGTATTTCACAATAAGTCCAAAGTCTGTTTCACATCTCAATTCGAACTTCGTCGAGTTTCTTCGCACATTGTTTTCCACCTTCTTTGATTTACAATATACTATGAAACAATAAGCTAATCTGACTCTCCTTCTTACCCAATAACTAAATTGACGAAAATCTGTATGATCATTTTTACTAATTTGAAGTGAGTTGGACATGTTGAGTTAACCAATTTGAACCCAAAAACTAATGAAGCTTATAAATTGGAAGTTATTTTAACTTAATCAAAACCTTACTGATAAATGCATCAATATTGAAAGTATGACGACTAGATTGTTAATGACTATAAAGTTCAGTGACCTGTAATCCGCGCTGATGCAACCCAGCAAAACAGATGAATTGAGCTTCAAGCTCATAATCTCATATCACAAAAAAAGGAAAACAAAAATAATAATAAACCTTCCATTTGTTTGCTCCCTCTCCTCAATAATTAATTGATTTTTCTTTCTCCTTTTCCCCATTATCAAATAATCCAAAAAAATAAAACTCACCTTCTCATTCATTTTTCTTCCTTCTTCTCTCCTTTCGTCCCCTTTTCTCTCCAACAATTCTCGAGCTTCAGTTTTTCTTTCCCCTTTCTTTTCGCTCTCTTCCGTAGAACTCTCTCAGTGTGAGAGAGAGCTGTCTTCTCGGCTCAACCTTTCTTCTTCTCACTTTCCTTTTCCTCCTGTTCCTTGATGCCAACTTCCAACCTCAAGCTATTGTGAATTTCTCGCTTTCCTCTGTTCTGTCTCCCCTTTCATATTACCCTTCTTTTTGATTCTTCGGTCTTTCAATTGCGGTGTGGCGGGATCGCAGTTTGTCTTTTCCCGTTTCGGGTTACTGGAGAAAGGATCAGAAGAACTATGAATCCCGGCAATGGAAGGGGTGTTGTCTCTTCTGTTAGCTCTAGGGTTAGCAGGAAATCTAGTGAAACCGTCCCTGATCAGTTCCCGGTGGGGCTCCGTGTTATGGTCGTCGATGACGATCCCACTTGCCTTATGATCCTGGAAAAGATGCTCAGAACTTGCAAGTATGAAGGTAAACGCTAACTTCCCAGCTCCCCCTCTTCCCCTTGTCAGCTTGGGCACTGAAAAGATGTAAATTTAGATTCGAGATTTAGCTTCCGCAAAGATACGCCAAATTTTGTAGTTGTTATGAACTTAGCCGATTGTGGGTTGGTGATAAAGATGTGAACTTGGTTTGACTTGGTATGATTTGATTTGACCAGTTTTTACACTTTGATTTGGATTTGATTCTTTTGTTTGTGTTCTATTTTCAGTGAAAAGATGCAGTAGAGCAGAAGAAGCCCTATCAATCCTACGAGGGAATAGCAATGGCTATGATGTCGTCATTAGTGATGTTCATATGCCAGACATGGACGGATTCAAGCTGTTGGAGCAGGTTGGTCTGGAAATGGATCTTCCCGTTATAAGTAAGCAAATTTCTCCCTCTTTTATCTTCACATTTGATCTCCATAACTCAATTCGGGTTCTAATGATTAGTGGGAGTTTGGTGCAGTGATGTCCGCGGATGACTCAAAGAGTGTGGTGATGAAGGGAGTAACTCATGGTGCTTGTGATTACCTGATAAAGCCGGTCCGGATCGAGGCTTTGAAGAACATATGGCAGCATGTCGTACGAAAGCGAAAGAATGAGTGGAAGGAAGTGGAGCAACAGTCTGGGAGTGCGGATGACGGACAGCCGAAGCAATCGGAGGATGGTGATTACTCGTCCTCGGTCAATGAAGGCAGTTGGAGAAACTCGAAGAGAAGGAAAGATGACGATGAGGATGGAGAGGATAGGGATGACACTTCCACGTTGAAGAAGCCTCGTGTGGTTTGGTCCGTGGAGTTGCATCAACAGTTCGTTGGTGCTGTCAATCAGCTTGGAATTGACAGTATGTTGTCTCTCTCTCCCTTACGCTTACTATTTATTGTAAATTACACTGCCAACTAGGGCTTTAATTTTTTGGATCCATTTAGTTAAGCCCCATATATTTTTGGTGGATACAATTGTAGAAGCTGTGCCAAAGAAAATTCTTGAGTTGATGAATGTGCCTGGACTCACTAGAGAAAATGTTGCTAGCCACCTTCAGGTATGGCTCTAACTTGATTTACAAGTCTTTTATTTGGTGGTGTATTTGGGGGAGGAATATTTGGAATTTGCACGTACTTGAACAACTATATCATTTTGGTTGATACTTGAAATGATGCTTGGTGTATTTCCATTTGTGTTGAGCTTTTTTCTTCTAATACGGTACTTGCTCTTGTGAGATACAGAAATATCGATTGTATCTGAGAAGGCTAAGTGGTGTTTCTCAGCACCAGAATAATTTGGGCAGCCCTTTCATGAACCCTCAAGATCCCGGATACGGACCATTATCCACTCTCAATGGAATAGACTTGCAAACCTTGGCAGCAACCGGTCAGCTGCCAGCGCAAAGCCTCGCTAATCTTCAAGCAGCTGGATTAGGTCGAGCAGCAATAGCACCCAAATCCAGGATTCCAATCCCAGTGGTGGATCAGAGGAACCTCTTCAGCTTTGAAAACCCTAAGCTTACATTTGGGGATACCCAACAGCAGCCACAACATTTGAACAATGGAGGGAAGCAAATCAACTTGCTTCATGGAATCCCAACCAACATGGAGCCCAAGCAGCTCGTGAATCTGCACCACCAGGGAAATTCAATTCCAGCTGTTCAGAGTGTTCAAAGTGTACACAATGGGTCCTATCAACCGCAGTCAAGAGTGCAGCAGCCAATGGGTAACTATAATCCAGTTTCTCACACTTCACCAATGATTAATTTTCCATTAAGCAGCTCAGCAGAGCTACGAAGCAACATCTATCCTCTCCCAAATAATCCAGCCAAAGGTGGATTTCCAGAAGATGTGACCTCAGAAATGAAGGGATCAACACCCGGATTCGTGCCTAGCTATGATATCTTCAACGAGTTAAATCACCAACAGAAGGTCCACGATTGGGAACTGCAGAATGTAGGGTTGACATTCAATGCTACTCAGCAAGCTAATAATAGCATAGATGTTGTTGGGACTTCAATCGTAGGATCTCCCCATCAGGCCTTCCCATCATCGAGCCAAGGAAGTGGTCTGTCTAGGAATGCATCTGTTGTTCATGCGAACAACAATAATAATGCAATAAGCATGGGGCAACATCATATGAGCAATAATAACTTCTACCACGAGAATAATCCAGTTAGGGTTAAGCTCGAAACCCCATTGTTTCCAGAGCAATTTGGTCAGGATGATCTCATGAGTGCTCTGCTCAAGCAAGTACGTCAGATGTCCTCTTTTATTTGTTATGTTCTTACCCTAAACAATTTGCTCAACACTTTATTTATCTTGTGTTTTATGTTTGCCACTTATTGCAGCAACAAGGAGGGATAGTACCAGCGGAGAATGACTTTGATTTCGACGGGTATTCCATAGACAATATTCCGGTCTAGGAGTGAACAGATGAAGATTCAAGCATGCGTGAGTTCACTCCCTTGTGGCGATGGCCATTGCTGATGTACATAACTGTTGTTTCCTGTGGACCCTCCGAATTTTCTCTTCAACGACAGCAGCATAGCAAATTCGAAAGTTATAGTAGTTTCTTTGTTAGAAGGAAAGAGTTGCCTGCATTTGACCGACGTAGCTGCATTTCACCTGTGAATATACGAGGACAGGCTCTCTGCTGGGTCTCTATTGAACGTGGTGTCGTATAGAAGAACACGATCGATCAAAAAGATCACCAGCAGCAGCATGATATTATGCTAAAGGCATTCCCATGCAAAATTTTGGATGGAACTATTCGGGAGGAAAGTCCAGCAGAAGCAAAAGAGGAACCAAAAGAAATCTAATTCTTAGGAGGGTGGAAATGAACAGACTTGTGGTATTTGAGCTCTTAGAAAAGTTGAAATTCAGTGAAGAATTGATTCATAAGCTTAAGTAGAAGGGTTGCAGAAGGAATGTAGTGCTGCCTTTTCGTTCCCCCATTTTTCTAACCTCTTAATAATACATTTGTTAGGATTTCAGTTTGCTTTTTGATTTCCAGCTTCTTTTCATATTTGTTATTTGAGGAAGCTGACCCGTGCTGTACATACAATCTCTTCACCCCCATTTGATTGCTTTTTCATGCATAAGTGATAAGTCCCTTCTTTCCTGGTATATTTCCCCCCAGGATGTTTCATTTTATCTTCATCTTCCCTTTTGTACTTGGAATTTATTGCCGGAGTCTTTCTCATGTTCTTATATTATTAAAGCTCCTGCTTTGTGTTTCCGAGTTGTAGACAGAAGCAACATTGTACTGAGCTTTTCTGAATTTGAAATGAATTATTTGTCTACAATTGTATTAACATGGTACAAGGATCAAGCAAGGACCATTGTAATTTAGGAAGGCAGCAAGCATGAATTCAGCCCGTACCGTCGCAAAAGTTCACGCCCAGAATCACCTATTAATCTAGATTGGCAGGTATTCTTCTGGTGCTTTGTAGTCACTTAAAAACTAAGTAATCGTCCACCTTTATATTACAGAAAAAGTGAAGTTTATACCAATCATTAATGTAGTGGATTGATGGTTGAAAGGCGAAGGACGGTTTAAGAAGGCGAGGAAGTTGGTTAAACATACAAATTACAAAGTAGCAAAAGCACATTTGGACGGTAGGTATGACAATTTCGACTTAACCTGTTTTACCCGATTTGTTTGGTCTATTTTGGAGCTGGTCTAACTCACCTAGTAGGCGGGACGAGGATGACATGGGTACTCTCATCGACCCTCCCAGTCCCGACCCTCCCCATTCTCGATCCGTTCTTGGCTAAATTACATGTAATCTTAGTCGAATTACTAATGATTTTTCTTTTATTACACCGTGTTTTAGCTATGATAAAGTTGTTTATTAGTGAAAACCTCAATTTCTTCAATAATTTAATTATATTTATTATAATATGGGTTGTTTTCTTAGTCTTATAATGAAATTAACAAATATTTCTAGTGTTTTTTCATATAAATTGCATACCCATTGAATCAACCTGCCCCAACCTGCAACCCATGATAAATTACCCGACATGAACCCAACCTACCACAAGGCGGGTATGAGTATCGTGATACCCGCCATGGAAATGCCCATTGCCATTCCTACTGTACAAGGGTTGCTTAAGAAGGTGGGATGACAGAACAGACACAGTCACTGAAGGTAAGTTGGTGCTGATTCGAAAGAGAACTACTTGCGTTTGTAAGCATGAGAAAGAAGGCAGACTAGGTTCTTGTCAAGCTGTAAACTTCATCATCATGTGGCGAAATATATTCAAGATTCACCCGAGGTAAGTAGGTAACAACAGTTATATAATACAAAGACTGAGCAGTTCAAAAGAAAGTAGAAGAATGATAGTAGCAGTAGTAGTAGTAGCTGCAGCAGCAGCACAAAGAATTAATCTAGAAATCCTGTCAATCATGGAAACATCTCTACAGAGTAATCACATCATTGTACATTTAGGTTCAATTCAGTATGTCTGCGACAAAGTGCTGATATCAACTACAAGGGTTTTCAGATAAAGAACCCCTCATCTCCCAACAAATCCAGTAGTCACCAGCCTCCAAACCAACAAACCTCAAGAGTATTTACCAGTGTCGAATTGCTTGCACATCTTCATAAGACTTCTCCAGTGTGACCTAGAAACCCGAAAAAGAATGAATAAATCGTCTCGTCTCCCGACAAAGCTACCACCGTAGCTCCTTCATCAATATAGATGCCACCAGAGCTGCTAGAATAACAGACATAATACTTGCAGGCGCCCTTCTGCTGACATCACTCGTCGGATACACCGAAGGAAGCGAACACTCTTCACCATTGAAGTACACTTTGGTTGGAAACCCATCTCCTAATGGCACATTGATTCCTGGTGTAGTCCTCTTAGTAAACGAGATCACTGACTGCTGTTTCCCGGGCACTCTTGGATCTTTACTCGGGTTCAACCCATCAGTCTCACCCACAAGATAGTTCAACCCTGGAAGCCCCTGCATGAATAGAGTACTGTTGGAGTTCGGCAACATCGTTCCATTAAACGAGTACATCGCCTCAAAGCCACCAGCTGCCTTATCCATCTCTACGGCAACAAACCAATCAGGGAAAAGAGTCTCTGCCCAGTTGAAGAGAGTGACCCTAGCACTCCACCCTCGATTGTAATCAGTGTTAACATGCCAGTTAATACTGACTCCGCAGTTATCAGGACAGGGCATTGGGTTAGGGACCTGTCGGTGTTTAATATTCGCCCAAGCAGTTGCCATGGTGGTCCGATTGTCAAAAGGAACCAAGAGAGCGTTCGGTGGGAGAAGAACTGGTGGAGCGGTTGCACTACAGGTTTGAGCAGCTCTGTTAGGGCAACCGCAAGCACATGTGTTACATGGGACAACTGAGTCATTGTAGAATGCGGAGAAGGACACACAGCAGCGCGGTGAAGATCCTTTAGGTTGAGTGATGTTGCAGACCACCTGCCAGCTCGCAACAGCTGTGGAGTTTGATGGGAGGCCACTTGGGTCTACAAACTCACTCGGGCTAACCCTCACGGGAGGACCACATTGGTAATCCGGGTTCAAGGTCCCATTGATTTTCCAGTTCTGAGGCGGCGAAATGTCCGAGCGGTTGAGAGTTGGTGGCATTTTGAAGACCTGCATTTGGAAAGAAGATACTGACTTGCTCGGGTCCATGGATGGGGGCAGGATTGTCCCGTTTCTGCAGCAGAAGGGGACCATCCCAACAGTTGAATCGTTGAATTTAGTTGGTGGGAGATCGATGATGGTTGGCCTTCTTTCACAGTTCAACACGGTGGAGAAGTCTAGCTGCTTGTAGTACTCGCCCTGTGGCCCAAATATGCAAGGCGAGGAGTCGACAATCGAAGGGTAAGCGCCCTTCATGGAGAAGATGAACTCGTCCTGCATCCAGTCCCAGCTGAGCTTCCAGTTGTCTAGACGACCCAAGTGGTTGTGGTTCGTGAGAGTGACTTGTGCCCAGTAGCTGGAATCATATGCTCTAGTCACATCATAGGCAATGGTGAGATCGCCGCTCTGTCGAGGGAGGAAATCACCGTCGAGTACTGTTATGTTCTTCTTGGCGTTCTCATCTCTTATGCAACATACAGACATTGCTCCCCCTGTACAGCAAAAAACACATAATGGCTTCCATCAACATCACAGAGAAAGGAAATAATTCAGAAACTTCTCAGCCAATGGAATTAGAGGAAGAAACCCATTAACTATTAGCTATCCATCAGCATAACACTTTCGATGAAGGCAACGTAAAGAACACAATAAATGAACAGTATGATAGCCCTAGATTCTCAAAATCAGCAAAATGAAAGCTTCAATTCAAGTCAATCCAAGTCACAATTATAGTATTCAATTCAATCCCTAGTCTAATTCAATGAACTCCAACATACGAAATGAACAAATCATCGCCCTAATTAGATCTAATTCGAACAATCAGCATGAAGAAACAGATGATTTTTTCCAATTATTTTACCTAGAGTGGAAGGAGCAGGACAAGCCCATCCGTCATTAACCAGAGTAATATTCGCCGGCCAGGGAATCGCCGGCGGCTTGACCCCAAACTGAGTCCCGAGCATCTTGACCTCAACCGAGGTCTGAGTCGAGTCCCCGGCGGTCTCAATCGCGGTCTTCAAGTCGGTCATCGGGAACCCAGCGAAAACCGTGCCGTTCCCCACCAAAGCAGGGTAGCTCGACCCATCAGCCAGAATCGCGTTGCTCGCCGAGACCAAGACCTCGTCGTGCTTGAACCCTACGTAGACCTGCCACGACTTGAGCCTCTCGATCCCGTTGTTCTGCACTGTGAGCGTGGACTCGAATCGGTACGGCTGGTGCTTCGGGTCGGTGGGCGCGATCTTGGATCCGGTCCCCGTACGGTAGGAGAGGAAGATCCCGTTGCAGTTGTCCGCAGCAGGCGCCGGCGCCGCCGCCGAAGGTGTAGCTCGGGTCCCGCCGCCGGTAGTCTGGGCAATCGAGCAAATGGGTAGGAAGAGAAAGGCGGCGAGAGCGAAGGGAACGAAGAAACCCGGCATCTTTTTGAGGGATTTTTGGGCTTCTGGGTTCTGATGGGGAAGTGGTGTGCTGAATGAAGCTGCTGGGCTTTCTTTTTTTCTTCTAGTTTTTGTAGTCGTGGGGGGAAATGGCGGAAGGAAGAAGGTAGGATTTGAGGGATTAACGCGTACGGGAGTGGGGATATTGAGGTAGCCGAGTAAAATCCAGCTGTGGGATTTTACGAGAAGAGAAAAATGTTTGATTTTTGGTTCTGATTTTGTATTTTTGGATGTGGGAAGAGGATTTCTCTGAAGAGGAATAACGAAGGGTGGATCTTTTGGAGTTATCTATTATTTTAGTTTTAGGGAAGGGGTTGAGCCGCCATTGGAGTGAAAGAAAGAAGGAGGTGGGTGGAGAAGAGGAGAAAGAATTGTTTATTCGGATTTGGGTAAAAGAAAGTTCCGTTGCGGAGATGGACGCTTTTTGCCTTTTGGCCCTCGCTTTCCTATTTTGAATTCCTATTGGGGGGAATGTGGTGTGTGGGGAAGAGTATGGAGCTTAGCGTGGTCATCAGGGCATTGAATGCCACGTGGACTAAATTTATATTTGGTTAAACCAGACGATATTTACGGGTGATTCGACTTGATTTTGATTTAATTATCGGAGGGCGACGATTCGAAAGAGCGGCGACTGGACTTAGGGTTTTGACGCGATGTCGGCGAGCGTCGTGCCGCCGGCCGGGGGAAAGCCATCCTCGGCCCCCCTGACTGAGGCGACTGCTGGCCAACGTAGGCCACCCACGGAAACGTCGTCCCCGAACCCTAAAGTCGATAGGGAGACGCAACATATGAAAAAGAAAGCAAAACAAACGGCGCCGATCCACAACGCCGTGCTGGAAGGTGAAGGTACCAGTGGGAAGGATACGACCAGGAAGTCTCCGTCGTCCAGTCCTCGGCCAAACGTATGGTAGCAAGGGACAGGAGCAGCGCGCAGGCTCTTCGGAGGGGAGGTTCGCATGGATGAGTGGTACGCGGCCGACTCGGATAGTGAGGACGCGGCGACGGCGATGCGCGAGGATGGCTTGGAGGAGGGTTTCGATGGGGAAATGGACCCTACATGCCCACCGATATATTTCACCGCAGCTGAAGAGAGGTCTTTTTGCCTCAAACTACGATCAGCCCTCATCGTGAAAGCCCTGGGTCGATCGGTATCGTACACGGCGGTGTCCATCCGTCTGAATGCGATATGAGCAAAGGCAGGAGGGATCCAAGTAACATCAATGAAAAATGGATACTTTCTTGTTCGGTTCACGAGTGGACTAGACTACGACAGGGAAGTCATGAACGGACCATGGATGATAGGACCAAACTACCCGTCGGTGCATATGTGGGACAAGGACATTGATCCATATAACCACGAAGTCTCGTCGATGCTAGTTTGGGTGAGACTTCTCGATATTCCGATCCAGTACTTCCATCAAGATGCAGTCATGAAGATTGGGAGACGCATTGGAAAACCTATTCGGATCGATGAAGCCACCCGTACGACAGCTCGCAGTGACTATGCCCGGGTTTGTGTTCAGGTGGACCTAACTCGACCCTTGTTGTCGAAGTTCTCCATTAGAGGCAAAAAATACTTCATCCAATATGAAGGGCTGGAAATGATCTGCTTGAACTGTGGAACCTACACTGAGAAGAGGGACTGCTCCTGTGATAAGTCGCAAACACCAATGGAGGCTGATAATACCGAAAGGGCACCCTCACCAGTATCTACTCAAAACTAACCCCTCTACGGGGAGTGGATGATTGCTAAACGCAAGCCTCGAACCCAGAAGAAGGACCAAGGGTCTGCTCCCAACCAGAAGGGAGGAAAAGCGGATCAAGGGCATCAACTTAACGTTGGGGGATCACGATTTGCAGCTCTTGGGTAGGAAGAAGAAATACAAATGGATACGGAGCCCGCGAAAGCAACTGAAATGATCCCAGACCCTGTGCAGCATCAGTCGGCCAACAAGAGTAAAGATATAAATCGGACGCCTAAGCAGGGAATACCAGTGGCAACTGAGAAGGGAACCACTGCGCCTATGGCAGCCCATACTACTATTCCCTTTTCAAGTAGCAATGAGGAAATGGCTGGCAAAACAAAGGAAACTCAATCTGGTCGGACACATCTGAGAGCAGACGTAGCCCGAACCAATCCTGTGAGCAACGAGCCGTCCCCGATGCTTGATAGGCAAGACGGTGGAATCAACCATACCCGGGTGGCCGTGACCTCGACCTATGACGGGGTGAAGGACATGCCGCCAGATTTCAATCCGAGCAAAGGGCCAATAAGATCAACGGATACAAGGGATAATACGAAGAATAACTCTTCGGGGATGCAAATCGACGGGACTCTCCCGCCGAACTCGTGATCTAAGGGAGTTACCTTTACTTCCCCCTTATTTTTATGGATTATAAAGTTTTTTCGTGGAATTGTAGGGGAGCAGGGGGTAAGGATTTTCTACGTGCTTTCCGTGAGTATCGTAGGAAATCCAAACCTCATATAGTGATTATTGTGGAACCTAGAATTAGTGGGAACCGCGCTCTTGAGGTTATTCGAAAAATGGGATATGATAGGGAGCTTATAGTAGATGTTGTAGGTTTTTCTAGGGGAATTTGGATTCTGTGGAATTCTTGTGACCTGAACATTACAAGAATTGATTCTAACCAACAATGTCTTCATGTGCAGGTACATGGCTCGCAATCTCAGGACGTTGCATGGCAAATTTCAGCAATTTATGGTAGCCCGGACCCCATGCAACATCGTGATTTATGGACTTTCCTTCGTGTACTGGCGGAGGATATGGAGCATCCCTGGCTTCTCGTGGGAGATTTTAACTCCATAATTAGCCCTTCGGAGAAGCTGGGGGTTGCCCCGTTTGATGCTGCCAGGATTCGAGACTTTCAAGAAGCAATCCAAGACACTGAACTCCTAGACCTGGGGTTTGGAGGACCCGCATTACACGTGGTTTAAAACGGGACTCCGGGAAAGACTCGACAGGGGTATGGCAAACAATCTCTGGGTCTCTACCTTCCCAGAGACAGTGGTGAGGCACCTGCCACGCATGAAGAAATCCGATCACCGCCCTCTTCTTGTTTCTATGGCGGAGCCACACCCACCAGCCGGACTCAAACCCTTTCGGTTCTTGGCGGCGTGACTTACTCATGAAGGCTTCCGCGACATGGCTGATGAGGCTTGGGCGAGGGGAAACTCCTTCACAGAATCGGCCGCAACTTTTGCCAGGGATGCCATGGTCTGAAACAGGAACATTTTCGGCCATATCACTAGAAGGAAGGATAAGTTGCTTCGGCGTATTGAAGATCTCGAACAAGCTGGTGGCAGCCCAGGAACTGTAGCTCGTCTTTAGCAGGTTCAGGAAGAGTTAGAGTTTGTTTTATTTCAAGAGGAGCTCTTATGGTGCCATAAATCCCGTCTTGAATGGATTAGCTCTAGAGATAAAAACACTGCTTATTTCCACACTAGAGCTCTCCGCCGGCGGAGCACAAATCGAGTCACCATGCTAAAGGATGGCGACGGTAATTGGATTGAGGACCAAACTATGTTGATGGAAATGGCACGAACCTATTTCAGTGGTTTGTACCAAGATGAAGGTGGCGATCTCCCACCCTTACAAGCTAATTTCCCCTCCCTAGGGGACTCTAGGTGGCAGCCACTAAATCACACGCCATATATGGAAGAAATCCATGCAGCTATTAAGGCGATCGGTGCCCTAAAAGCACCAGGTAAAGATGGTCTGGGTCCAATCTTCTTCCAGAGATGTTGGGAAACGGTGGGTGAGTCACTGACAAATTTTGTCCTCGACTGTTGGAGTAACCCGGAAAAGATCAAGGATATCAACTCAACAATCCTTGTTCTTATTCCGAAGACTCAACAGCCTACCACTATAGACCAATTTCAGCCGATCAGCTTATGCAATGTGGCGTACAAGGCGATTACTAAATGCCTAGCTGAGAGACTCAAAAATCTCATGCCAGCTCTCGTCAATGAAACACAGACCAGTTTCGTTCCCGGGCGCCATATTATAGATAACATTTGCATTCTGCAGGAGGTGATTCACTCAATGCGAGCCCGCAAAGGCAGACGCGGATGGATGGTCCTGAAGGTGGACTTAGCTAAAGCTTATGATCGGATCAGATGGGGGTTTGTCCGGGATACTCTAGTGGCGAAAGGGGCTCCAGATAAATTTGTGGACTTGACGATGGCCTGCATCTCTTCGGCTTCTATGCGGATACAATGGAACGGGGGCCTCACATAGAGTTTTCAACCATCCAGGGGATTGAGACAGGGATGCCCTCTCTCACCGTATCTATTCACTCTATGCATGGAGAGACTGGGACATATCATCGATGATGCAGTCAGAGCGGGTAGATGGAAACCGATAAGGTTGGCGCAGGATGGACCAGCCCTCTCCCATCTCTTATTTGCAGACGATCTTATTCTGTTTGGGGAGGCGACTAGGGCACAAGTTCAGGAGATAAATGCCTGTTTTGAGAAATTCGGGGAGTCATGAGGCCAGCAGATTAGCAGGCCAAAATCTCGGGTATTCTTTTCGGTAAACACCACCGCTGGTTGCAAATAGAGTCTGAGCGAGGATCTTCAGATCCCAGTAACCGCAACCTTGGGAAGATACTTGGGGGTCCTGGTAATCCATGACAGGGTTTCGAAAGCCACCTTTACGGACCTTATTGACAGGATTGATAAGCGGCTGGCGGGGTGGAAGGCGTCTACTCTATCTCTTGCAGGACGAATAACGCTAGCACAGTCTGTGTTGGCTTCCCTCCCGGCTTACACGATGCAGACAACCTTCTTACCGGCGAGTATACAAAATTACATTGACAAGAAAATTCGCGCCTTTATATGGGGCAGTACGGAACAAGGCCGGAAAATCCATCTCGTGGATTGGGAAACGGTGTGTAGGCCCAAAGATGAGAGGGGTTTGGGGCTTCGAGATTCCACTAGAACAAATGAAGCCTACATGTTAAAAATTGCTTGGAGGATGATCACCAAACCAAATGAGCTATGGGCTAAGGTCTTATTGTCCAAATACTCTAGGCGCACGGGAGAGGGACGTCGCTTCCTAACCGAGGGTCGGCTCTCCAACCTTTGGCGAGGGGTGATCCGGGTGGCCCATTTGCTCAAGGAGGCGACCTGCTGGAACGTCCGAAATGGGCGAATAGCCAAATTTTGGAGCGATCGATGGCTTGACGATATCACCATTTTAAAGAACCATGCTCAGGGACTTCCGTCGGAGCTCCTTGACATGCCCGTCGTCGAATTCGTTCTCAACGGTAAGTGGAATTCAGATTTTCTCCTCTACTACTTACCAAACCAAATGAGCTATGGGCTAAGGTCTTATTGTCCAAATACTCT